CGACGACAACAACAATCAGTTTAAGGTTGCTCGTTCTTAAGTGTACTTCAAGTGCTTCAAGCGCTGAGCCGCCTGGGAACGCAGCAGCATGGTTGATCCTTCCCATTCCTGGTGTGTTCAAGAGTAGCTCAAGTGCAGTTCAGGTGTAGTCCAAGTATAGTTCGAATGTATTTAAAGGGTGGCTCAAGCGCTGCACTGTCTAGGACAGCAACAGCATGGTTGATCATGCCTTTTGCGAGTGTAGTTCACGTGTAGGTCAATTGTAGTTCAGATGCAGCTGAGGTGTAGTCAGGTGTAGTTCGGGTGTAGTTCAAGCATAGCTCAAGCACTGTACCATCTTGGGGCGCAGCAGCACTGCTGTTGATTCCCCGTGCAGGTGTTGCTCAAGTGTAGTTCAAGTCTAATTCGTTCACGTGTATTTCGAGCAGCCCCTAAGGCAGGAGAGAGGGCGGATGAAAGGAAAGAATCTGGGGCAGGCGGGTTGCTGAAGCGTGCGTCCTGCATGAGTTGCAAGGACATCTCGAGCGATAGCGCGATTCCCACATGAATCGTCAGGACATCTACAGCGAGAGCGTGATTCCTCAGTGTCGAGGGCGCAGTCTGAATAGATGGCGAGGAAATCCCACGAGAGAGCGCAGTTTTTTCTGTATACATTGTGAGGGGATCTCGCGCGAGAGTGCGATTTGGGAATACATTGTGAGGAAGTATCAGGCGTGAGCAGCTGTTGTTGCAACTGGGAGCCCACAACACAGTTTGGTGACCCCTCGCTTTCCCTGGTACAATAACAGGGTGAGGGCCCCGGGGTTAGCACTGTAATCTGCCACACGCAATGGTTACCTGGCAGGGGGATCATCACACACATTCTTTAGACATAAAAAATAACCAACAACAACAGCAACACCAACAACAACAATAGCAACAACACCAACAATCATGTTAATATTGAACACTCCTAACTGCTCACGTGCCAATCTCTCCGTATGTCCCAAACCCTCGGTACCCGCCCTCGTCGTCTTCGAACGTACTCCCATTGGGGGTATGTCTTCCTTACCTGCCACGTGCACGTAGTGCAGCCCCTAGAACAGGGGAAGTGAGGTCGGGTGGAAGGGGCAGGAAATGGAAATTAGCAGGATGGGGGCATGGAGCAAGAAACAAGTGGTAGAACCAGACGGGCAAATCGGGTGGGCAGACTCAAAGTGGGCGTGTCGGGAATGCGGGCCCAGGGGACCAGGTCGAGCAGGCGGGTTGCTGAAGCGTGGGTCCTGCATGAATCGCGAGGAAGTCTCGAGCGATAGCGCGTCTCCCAAATAAATCGGAAGAACAACCAAAGCGAGAGCGTGATTCCTGAGCTCCGAGGGCGCATCGTTCGCATACATTGCGAGGGCGTCCCACGCGAGAGCGCGATTCCTACATACACTGTGAGAAATTCCTGCGCGAGAACGCGATCTGAGAATACATTGTGAGGGCGTCTCGAATGGGAGCCGTTGTTGTTAGAAGCCGGGGGACAACAGCCCAATGCTGAAACTCAAGACCTTCCCTGCAACATAATACACCTGGTGCGAGCCAGGGGAATGACACTTCAATTGAAAAACGCAATGCGCTCGGGGGGAAATCAACAATACATTTTCCTTAGGAACTAGAATTCAACAACAACAACAACAACAACAGCAGCACCAACAGCAAGCAACAGCAACAACAACAATAATCATTGTAAGACTGTTCACTCCTAACTGCTCACGTGCCAATCTCTCCGTATGTCCCAAACCCTCGGTACCCGCCATCTTCGTCTTCGATCGTGCCCCCTTGGGGGCATGTCTTCCTTGCCTGCCACGTGCACGTAGTGCAGCCCCTAGAACAGGGGAAGTGAGGTCGGGTGGAAGGGGCAGGGAAAAGGATGGAGCACGATGGAAATCAGCAGGATGGGGGCAGGGAGCAGGAAACAAGTGGTAGAACTAGAGTGGCAAATCGGGTGGGCAGGCCCATAGCGGGCGGGTCGGGAAGGCGGGCCCAGGGGACCAGGTCGCGTCTCCCAAATAAATCGAAAGAACAACCAAAGCGAGAGCGTGATTCCTGAGCGCCGAGGGCGCATCGTCTGAATAGATTGTGAGGAAGTCCCACGCGAGAGCGCGATGCGCACATGAATTGCGAGAACATCCCCCGCGAAAGCGCGATTTGGGAATACATTGAGGAATGATAAAGCGGGAGCCGTTGTTGTTGTTGTTGTTGAACATTATTTATTCTAAAGAATAATTATTGTTGGGCCCCCTGGTGCGCGCCCCCCCTGCGCCGCCTAGGCCGCAGCTACATTTTCATCACTTTCGTGAGGAAGCCTCAGAAAAGAGGGTGTGTACAGGATCCGGTTGTTTTGTTGTAATCCGCTTTCCCTTGCAAAAAACAATAGAAAATGACATTTCTTGTTCTAATATAATCAAATTTCAAGAATCCCTTGCAAAAAATAAGGTAAAGTGGACATTCGCGCGCGCAAGACGAAATCCTTCCAAAACCTTAGTGTTCGCAGCGATTTTAACATAAAAACATCAAAAAACCAATGGTTTTTCAACAAAAAAATGTCAAAATCTCATCCCGCGCGCTCTTGCGGATTCGTAGGAAACCCAACACTTTTTAAACATTTCTGTCAAACGGGCTTTTGCGAGCAACTTTTTCGAACTTCTGCAACAACGGTTGCGCACCTGCCAGGGCCATCATCCCTGTCAAATAATACCATGCGGGACACATTCGTTTTTTCTTCGCGCGCGCACGCCGTCGTCGTCGGCCGCGGGGCCCTGAATAGTAGCCACGGTCGTCCGCATGCCACGAAGTGAAGTGTCCGAACGTCATAGGGCGGGAAGCTGGGTGTGGGTGGTGGCGAAGAGTCGTTTGGAAATTTGGTAGAGCTTGAACCGGCCCCCCCACAAAGTGGGGGTATTGCCCGCCTCCTATGAAAACCCTGGCACTGGTGAGAACGGAGTGTCCCCACGTGCTAGTAATTGTTGTTGTTGTTGTTGTTGTTGTTGTTGTTGTAAACCGGGGGCCAAAGGCCCAGTTTGAGCCTAGCGACTTTCCTGGATAAGCAACAGGATGCGAGCCCCGGGGAAAACACTGAAATTGAAAAGAACAAATGGTCACCGGAGGAGGAGGATCAACAATAATTATCCTTCAGTATTGAGAATTCAAAAAACAACAGGGACGAGCTTCTCAGAAGGGGCCCGCTACTTGAAGACCACGCGACCTCCGCCGTCCAAGAGGCTCGGCCTTTTTCGAAGGCGGCCTCCCCGACACTGCCCCCTCTTGCCCGCCCTGCCCTCGCTTCGATGATCTGGGGTAATGACGTGTGCTGACGCTGACGTGCCTTTGCCAACGTGCCGAAGACCCTCGGTACGCGGACGGAGGCGCACGGAGGGTCGCCGAGAGCCCCAGCGGTGTCGGCGGAGGTGAGCGATGAAACACTGGACTGCCGTACTCTTGTGGGAACGTGCCCTGCCCTCGGACCTCTCGACTCCTTCGCAGTGCCAGCTTCGAACCCTGAGTCGCTCTTTCATGGCCCTGGGTCCCGAGTCCAGCCTCTGGTGTCCCACAGCGGTGAAGAAGTGGCCGCCTCAATCTCCTCGCGCCGCCGGATGTCTGAGCCCTGGCACCGAGGCTTTGCCACCTCATACATCAACATCAGCGCCTGGACCTGTCCTGGGAGGCGTGCCGACCAGAATTGCAAGTGCAATCCAACCGCGGCGACGAGGACGCACTAGAACGCAACGAAAGGAAGACACACAACAATTCTGGATCCGCAGCCCTCGATGATTTGCCTCTCTCGATCGTCGGGTCTTTGGGCCGCCGATGGAAATCTCAGAACAAGTCCCCAGACTCCTCCTGGTAAAACAGGGCTAGGATCTGGATAAATCGCTCCAGAGCGTTTCGGAGCGCTCTCAGAGCGTTCCGGAACGCCCTGGAGCGGCCGCGGCGCCCAATACATCCTCCAAACCCGCCGATTCTCAGAGATTGCGAGTTATCCCGATCCGATTTTGTCCCGATCTTCGCGTCGTTTTTGAAGGGGCCCTGGGACACACAAATATATACACACAAATAAAAGTATGTCCCATATTTTCATATATTTTCTGAGTTTTTGTCTTCCCCCCCACTTCCCATATTTTCCAATATTTTCCTGGGGATCGACGATTAATTGTGTATGTGTGTTTCTTTCCCTCCTGATTTTGTCCCGATCTTCGCGTCGTTTTACAGAACAAGTCCCCGGGCTCCTCCTGGGGTGTATCGTGGCAACACGTTCGAGCCGCGTCCCGCCGCGGCCTCGAGGGCTCCACAGGATGCCCCGAGGTTTAGTGAAGAGGCCCACAAATAAATGCACACAAATCAAAAGATCCCCCTATGTTCCCATGTTTTCTGGTCTTTTGTCTTCCCCACCGCTTCCCATAGTTTCCCATATTTTCAGGGGAGTCGACGATTCATTGTGTCTGTGTGTTTTTCCTCTCCTGATTTAGGTTGGGCATGTCCTCCTACAGGCGGATATTGGATGACAAATTAAAAAGAATCAAAACGAATTCAAGCACGGCGAAAGATACGCGAACATCTTCCCCATACAATTTTGGACTATCTTTGGATGTTCTGCCTGTAGAGGGACTGGCCCGACTCAACCCAAGGTGGGAAAGTCGATGCTCGAAGCGGGTGCTCAAGGTTGAGGCTGATGCCCGATTTCCCAAGAGGCCTCCCAACTGGGGCTTGGAGGATCGCCGCCGCACCGCCGACGCATCGGCGACGTCAGCATGGAGAACATCGGGCTCCACGTCGAGCCGCACCGCCGATGGCATCGGCGGTGCGGCGCGATCCTCCGACCCCCTCACTGGCCACCGCTCGGACGTCCCTTCCCTGCGCTTTTCTCGGTTTCGTGCGTTGGCTTTTTCGCCAAATGCTCCAGGATGCTCCTCGATGGCCCTCGCCCCAGGACAAAAGGCACACGTCCGTGGGCCGTCCATCCTTGCAGCCCTTCCGGCCTGCCGCCGAGCGGGGCCGCGCTGGCCCCCAGCGGCGCCGGGCCGCTGCCCCCCGGCCTGCCGCCGGCGGCGCCGGCGGCGCCGCCCTCCGCCGCGGCCGCGGCGGCCCGCAGGCGCGCCGCCTCTGCAGCTGGCTCGCGGGCGCGCCGGGCGGCGCGCCCGCCGCCGCCGCCGCGGGCGGCCCGCCCCCGGCGGCCGCGGAGGGCGGGCGCGGAGCGCGCGGCGGCGGCACGGCCGCGAGCGCCCACAGGGCCAGCGCCAGCGGCGGGCGAGCTGCATTGCGCGCGCTGCCGGCGGGGGCGGGGCCGGCAGGGCCCGCGCGAGCCTGCAGGCCGCCGGCGGGGGCGGCGGCGGGGTGCGCGGGCCGCCCGGCCGCCGAGGGGCGCCACGGCGCGCGAGCGCGCGCGCGATGGAGCTGCAAAGGGGGGCGTGGGTGTTTGTCTCACGATGAGGATATCGGGCCGACGGCGGTCGATCGGTGCCGACCCAGTGAGCACGTGCATATGAGCATATACAAATAGATAGATACACCTATATACGACCACCCTTCGGGTGATGAGGAGGTTGTGTGGGGGGGGGGGATAGGGGGGGAGCCAACATCTGACTCAATGGATCTCACTATCGATCTCACTCAACGGGACACCACGGGACTCCACGGGACACCTCGGGACACCACGGGACAACGCGGGACACCTCTCGATCTCACGATCGGTCTGACTATCGATCTCAGTATCGATCTCACTATCAATCTCACTCAACGGAACACCACGAGACACCTGTCGATCTCACTATCGATCTCACTATCGATCTCACTCAACGGGACACCACGGGACACCTCGGGGCACCACATCGATCTCAGTATCGATATCAAGATCGATCTCACTATCAATCTCACTCAACGGAACACCACGGGACACCTGTCGATCTCACTATCGATCTCACTATCGATCTCATTTTTTGGTACACCACGGGGCACCTCGGGGCACCACATCGATCTCAGTATCGATCTCACTATCGATATCACTATCGGTCTCACTATCGATCTCACTATCGATCTCACTCAACGGGACACCACGGGACACCACGGGACACCACGAGCCACCGCCGGACGGGGGAGGATCATTTGTCTTGACTTCGCCCTAGCAACGGCGGACACCACGGGACAACATGGGACACCGCGGGACACCGCGAGCCTCCGCCGGACGGGGGATAATCATTTGTCTTGACTTCGCCCTAGCAGCGGCGGACACCACGGGACACCACCGGGGGAGCGGTATCAGGAGCGTCCGCGAGATGTTCCGGGGAGGTGTGTGACCCGGGGCCGGGGGGGCGGTATTTATTTATATTACATATATATATATACTAGAACCATAGCGCGCGTTTCGCGCGCGCTCAGATTCTAGCCAGGCTGGATCGGCTAACACATGGAATATCATGATGGTCGCTCCTTGCATCCAGGGAATCTGTTGGAGGCCCTGTACAAGCCTCGGAAGCGTATAGAATGGAAAGTGCGGAAACGCAAACAATATCAATTTACTTTAGGTATTCGGCGATATGGGGCCCGCAAAGGCTTCCCGGGATCTTTCTTGAAGCCTTAATTGTGGTCTGCTGCGCAAGAATACACAGGGGGCGAACTTGAAAAAAAAGAATTGTGGACATTCCTTTTTGTCAAATTGCCGTGCCTGGGCTGCGTGTCAGAAGTCTCCTGGATGCATGCCATGGTCTGTTGGGAGGCCTCTCGGGGCATTATTGGCGGCGTCCCGGGAGATTTTTCAGGGCCTGTTAGGGGGCTCTTGGTGCCTCCTGGGAGCCTCGCGGGCGTGTCTGAAGGCATCTGGGGGGCGCCTCGAGAGCCTTTGGGAGAACCGTGGGGCCATCTTAGGGCAGAGCGCTCTAAAGGCTTTGGGAGGTGAAAAAGTCCACTGCCTGCGAACGAAATGCTGGCAGGCTGCCGGAGAAAAAGAAAATGCCAAGGCGCTGGCCGAAGGGGGGGACATCTGCGCAAGGGCCTCCCGCGCGATCTCCGGAAGCTTGTGCTCATGCGAGCGCTTGTGCTTCGCCCTCCACCACCACCTCCGCCCCCACTCCCCCCCACCCCCCACCCACCATCCCAGACCAACCCCGCCCGAATCGTCTTAGACATTGGTCACTGACAACTGGTTGGTATCTTTGCCCATTCCAGTCGCTTAGCACGGGCCTGCCTAAGCAACGCGCTGCTGCTTTTAACACCTTGGCGCTCTAAATGAAAGCGGCCCTGCGTGGAGGAGTACAAGGAAGATGAGATGCCATGAGGGGGGGGGATAATGCGGCGGAAGGGGCAAGGGTCGAAGTTGACCCCATGGTCAGCAGAAGGCGAGGTAGCCGTCGGAAGGAAGGTAAAAGCAGGCGTTGCCACTATATTCGGTGGAAGGCGGCCTCAGGCGGTTGGGACCTACAATCGCGTTTACCAAGCGTCGGGTTCGGCGTTGGTGGCGATGTCGTTCGAAGTAACGACGAGCGCGCGCTCCTTCTGCTTCGTAAAGTAGACACGCCCGACAGTGCTCAATAACGCCCAAACAACGATAGAGACGATACATACGCCTCAAACCTTACGCAGCGGCCGCCACACGTGGTAGGCGACGGGCACTGGACCTTGACACTTGTGGACCCGATTGATTTAGGCTCGTTTTTGGAACCTTGTCGATGAAAAATCAACGATGTTGAGCTCTTCGGGCCCTCTCGGGACGCCTCTCGGAGGTCTCTTGGGGCCTCTTGGAGGCCTTCTGGTTAACTCTTCGGCGATCCTGGGAGCCTGGAGAGCTGTCGAAAGGCTTTCTTGGGGTGTTTGTTTGCGTTATGGGAGCTCTTCGGTGGCGTTTTGGGCCATCCTGGGGCGTCCGGGGGCTTCCGCTGGAACGCCTGGAATGATCACGCGCTGCGGTTTCCCATGCCAACGTCCTCGGCCGTGGGCGCCCTGCCACGAGCGCGTTCCGGGAAGATGCTCCCAGAACGCGCTGAAAAGATATGGCCACATCTCGGGGACGCTCCCGGCACCGCTCCCCCAGCCTTTCCGGGCAGCCTCCACAGCGCTCCAGGAGGGCCCAAGACGCCCCCCAGGAGCCCCCAGCATGCGAAAGGATGGCCCAAGACGCTCCCGAGCAGCCCAAGTCAGCCTTCCGACGGCTCTCGAGGCTCCCAGGTGGCCTCCAAGAGACCCCAAGAAGTCTGATAGGTATCACGGTACGGCCCGAAGACGCCAAAGTCGTATATGCTCAATGGTCTTTTCAATGTCTTTGGCTTCTCGCGTTTTCGAGCTTCCAACGGTCCAAGAGCGCCGAAGAGCCTCCCAAGACCGCCCCAAGACCACCCAAGAGACCCTCAAGACGGCCCCAAGACGGGCCCAGAATCGGGGAGACGTAAGACCCTTGTACGGGGGACTCGGAAATCCCCGACGAGGTCGTCAAAAAAATGACGAGGCCGAGCCTGCATTTTGACGAGGCCTCCCGCTGCAAACATCCCACGAAACTCCTCCTCGTCAAAATCCGAGGCGCGGTCGTCAAAAAACGATGGCGAACCCGAGTCCTGGCAAACCCGGGTCTTACGCTCCCCCGAAAGAAGGCTCCAAGACTGCCGAAGAGGCGCCCAGCACGGCCCCAGACCACCCCAGAACAGGCCCAAGATGGGCCCAAGAGCGGGAGCAAGAGGCTTCCAGAAACCTCCGAGAGGCCTCGGGGACCCCCCAGAGGCCCCCAACACACTCCCCGTCCTTGAGGCCCCAAAGAGACCCCGACGAGGCTCCGAGAACAGCCCAAGAGAGCTGCGAGAGCCGTCCTGAGAGAGCCCAGCGAGGGTAACATCGTTGATTTCCCATGGTTTTTCCTATGTTTTTCGCCTTCTCACGTTTTCCCGCTTCCAGCCCTCAAAGATCGAGAATTGGGGAACAAGAGAGGGAATTCCAAGACTTCCTTTTTTTCATCAAAATGGAACTCCTTCTCGGGGGTCCTACATATCCCCTGACATCTGGCCGGTACCGCGCCTCCCGGCTTCTTCACGTTTTCGCGGAGTCTCCGAAGGCCCCAAGGAATCCGGGAAGTGTGGATTTGGGTTGGACGCTTATCCATTCAGGACTCAGGACAGTATGCCGGGGCCCGGGCATACTGTCCAGGCCACCCTGAGCGCGCGCTCAGGCTCTAGCCTAGGCCGGGGGGGCGCTGGACGATCTTGGACAACGCTATCAAGCACAGGCGCGCGACGGCATCTGAGGAGCTTCTGGGGTGTTCCGCATGCTTCGTCAACTGGCTGTTCGAGGCACCTCTTGGGTGCTTCTTGGGGGGGCGTCTGAGGGTCCCTTGGGGGCATCGGTTCTGCAATCTGAAGCCGTCATTGGCCGTCTTGGCTGCGTGGAGGCCCGACTTGAGGCCACCTGCGGCCAGATTGAGGCAATCTGGAAGCCTCCCGGGGGCCTCCTGGAAGCAGTTTTGACGCATCTGGGCTATTTTAAAGCCTCTTGGACGTCTCCTAAGGGGCCTTTTAGGCCCTCGGGAAGCTTTTGGGGTCCTCGTCGGACCACTTGGGGGCCTCTTGCGGCCTCCTGTGGGCCTTTTGGGGGGAACGCTCTGCTGTTGGGTCGCGTTCCCCTTCTTGGGCCTCTTTTGGGGCTCTTGGGGCCCTCTCGGGCCGTCTTGGGCGCCTTAAGCACCGTCCTGGGGCCCTCGCGGGCCGTCTTGGGGCCCTCTTGGAGGCCTCTTCCTCTATATGGGAGCGGTATTGGAAGCCTCGTTGGCCGTCTTGGAGCATCGGGATGCCAACAGGCCGACAAGCATGAAAACCAGTCAAAGCCCAATCGTAAAACAAAAAGTTGTGCCTCTTGGGGCCACCGTGGGAGATCTCTTGGAACCTCGTCGGCCCCCTTGGGAGCTTCTTGGGGGCCTCTTGGATCTGATTGGGGGCCTCTTGGGACTTCCCGAGAACCTCTCGGGGTAGAAAGCTCCTATTCTCGGTTTGTGTTTCCCTCCTTGGGCCTCTCTTGGGGCCGTCTTGGGCGCCTCAGGCACCGACCGCCTTGGGGCCCTCGTGGGCCGCCCAGGGCCCTCTTGGAAGCCTCT